TATATTGGATTAGTCCCCTTCCCCTCCTATTATTGCTTTCCCCACTTTTCAGGATTTGCTTCAGGCTATATGCTTTGGTTATTTGTTCCTTGGTTGGATTGGATTTTAAATTAATTGCATTTCTTAGGGTGTCTTGCTATATGCTTTATAAAGTTACATGATGTTGCCATTCTTATGCTTGTGGGGTGTGTGTGTGTGTGTGTGTGTGTGTGTACTTTTCAATGATCTTCTTAAAGGGAAAACAATGGTGTGCGTGCTCAAGTCTCGCCCACTATTGTAGAGTAATCGCTTTAAAAGGTTGCATAAGCTAGTTGAGAAACTATGTTGTTTATTAGGATTTACAATCATAGACTGGCTGCCATTCCTCTCTCTTCAAATTTCATGGTTCAAAGGAATTGGCTATTAACATTTGCAGTGTTTTCAAAATTTTCTGGTCAAATTTTAATTTTGTGAAAAATTACTATGGAAAGAAGATTAAATTAAAAGACCTAGGATTTTTTAAATGGAATTTTGAATGTCATATAAACTTCATGGGCAAAATGGTCATGTAGTGTGCGTATGATTTCTCTAAGCAAAATCTGCTAGTTTGGTAACTGATAAACTTGGCATCTTGGTTGGTGAAATATTGTTTGGCTTGTGAGTTAAATGTCACTTATCTAAAACCTAGCTCATATTTCATTTATTGCTAGCAGAATATCTCTATTTTATATGTATTCTTAGAATCAAATACCCTTCAAAGGAAATGCTCCTTTCCTAATTTGGGACTGAGATTGTTTCTGGTGACAAACAAATGTATTGTTGACCAAAAAAGACAAACAAGTGTATCACAATTATCCTTGGGTCAATATATTTTTTTTATAGCACAAGCGATAGTCTAAACTACAGGGGAGGGGGGTTTCTCACACACACACTACTATGATGCCATGGGGGTTCGAACCTGAGACCACTAGTCTTAAAGTCAAGTCCTTTTTCCACTGGGTTAGACCTGTTGGCATCCTTGGGTCAATATAGGTGTGCAGGTTCTGTCCTTCAGTGAGTTGCCTCTTCTGCAACTCATCAGTCACCCACCACAACCAATGAGATCAAGGTTGTTATGAAAGGGAAACTTTAAGAACAAAACATGTAAACCTTAGCCTTTGGAAGTGGAAGTTCTAGGATGGCACTTGTTGCAGTATAGTTCCCGTGTTATGTGGTGCGGTTTATTATAGCATTGTATCTGGACATGGTATGAGCTGCATTCGCACTACCCTTCCCTTTTCGGTGATCTCGGATGAAGTATAGAGGATTTGACCTGATTGCTTAGGGTGATTTTCTTGTATTAGTGAAAATGCCATAGCCCGGATGGACGAATTCATACTGATCTGCGCTGTTTGGTGTACTAAATTTGAATGTATGTTGACGCTGTTATATTAGAAGTCTACTCGGTCTTCTTGCTTCTTACTTTGTTGTTATGCTTTAGACGTGTATTTGCATTAACTACCCCACCATCATCTTGAAAATTAAACTTACTCGGATTTCTAAGCTCTTAAAAAACTTGCTTTGAAAAATAAATTAAAATGTACATGGTTTGTATGAAATTGATGAATTTTAGTGAACATAAGTTAAATGGAAAAAAAAAAAAATTTAGGGGAGGACTGTGATGATGTGATTCTATAGAAGAGAAATTTTAGATAAATGGTACTTGAAGGTGGAAAACCAGTGAAAACGGTCCCATTGAGTTGTGACCTTCATTTTTATTTTCTGAATTGTATTGAATTTCATCATGGTAGTTTTCCAAAATAACTTTCTATGTGAAGAAGGCCAGTAATATACTGGTCTAACTACGACAGGAAGACTTGAGTTTTCTTCAGAGTGGGACAAGTTGACCATAAATAGAGAGCTCAAATTACCAGTCAGAATGGATAAGTAAAAATCATCTATAAATGAAGAGACATTGCAGTAATGTCAGTGTCAGAAAGGTTTTAAAGGATTGGCTGTTGAAATGCATGTTAACATATTTTATTGATTCTATATTCTCCCTGTTAATCATGTTGGAAGGAAATATATTTGCATGTTAGAGATCAGAATTGGTAGTAAGTTTGTGTTATCTGAACTTTAAATAATTAATTGAACACTATAATGAATGGATATGAATGTGTTAGTAGTTTTATGAGCTTGGATTACGAAATGCGCTATATAGCATTCAGAGTTTGAAACATTGTAAACAAAATTGGATTGGTTCGCATCAAGTTTGTTAAGAGTATGAAATTTGAATTGTAAGAAGGCCTGGTGTGCATGCATTTAGTTGTTCAGTATCTTGGCAGGTAATTTCTGCATTGCAAACATATCAGTTAGAAGAAAGTTAGCTTATGAAAATGCTATCATCTTAGACAAAAAAAAAGACGGAAGGAAATAAAATGTTACTATCATTTATGGTTATTGTTCAACACATCTTTTTCACAAAGTGTGCATATGTGCGTATGTGCACATGTGCACATATTGAGGAAAAAGGGTGGGGGAATGGTGTGGTTAGGAAAGTGTACAAACATTTGTTTCCTTAGTGGTTTAAATAGCATTTCACTGAATTTTTTATTGTGTGAAAAATTTAGGAATAGCAGAATAGGGTAGGAAACATAAATTATGTACAACTTGGCTGCTTGTTGGACAACTTTTTGTCTCTGATGTTTTACATTGTATAAGTTGATTCTTGACTAGCAAAAAAGCTTCTGTCTCTAATTATGACTTAGTGAGTGGATGTCAGAACAAAACAAGTTTTCAGTAAGCGCACCTATGATAACTTTAATTCAGTAATTAACGTTGAGCATGCATTTCTGATGTACATTCCAAGCATTTAGTTTATATTTGTTTTTCTACACTTTGAAATGATATGTAGAGTTGAGAAAAATTGTTATCCTTGATGTTTAGAGGGTTTGATGGAATGGAATCTAATGATTAATAAGAGATCTCTCCACCCTTATTTGCTGCTTTGAATGATGCCTTTTTGGTATAGTAGCAATTGAGGGCACCAATTTTTTTTTGTAAAATTGAAGTAGAAAACTGACCTGCCATAAATAACCAAGTATGAAATATAAGCTTGTTGATGGGTAGCAAATTGGATCAATTTTAAATACCAAGCACCTTCTTTAATTCTTACTATCGTTTTTCGTATTTCTGCTGCAGAAGATTCCCAGAAGGTGAATGGCACTGCCAAGGTTGGTGGGCTGGAAGATGCAGCCGTGAGTATCTCGCATATTTCTTAGCTGTCAATTAGTATTCTGATTTGTTTGACCACTCTGCTCATTTATTTCTCTCTGGCAGTGATGCAGGTAGCACCTTAGAATGCACTCACTGTGTATTATGGATCAAGGATGGATCTGAGTCTTGTGTACCTTGGTGTTGGACAAAATTAGGAGTTTATTGTTTACCATGTTCTTATTTTTGTACTGATTTTCTTTCTTTTTTATTTTTATTTTTCCATTTGAGTCAAGCCCCGTGTTATGTGGTGTGGTTTATTATAGCATTGTATCTGGACATGGTATGAGCTGCATTCGCACTACCTTTCCCTTTTCGGTGATCTCGGATGAAGTATAGAGGATTTGACCTGATTGCTTAGGGTGATTTTCTTGTATTAGTGAAAATGCCATAGCCCGGATGGACGAATTCATACTGATCTGCGCTGTTTGGTGTACTAAATTTGAATGTATGTTGACGCTGTTATATTAGAAGTCTACTCGGTCTTCTTGCTTCTTACTTTGTTGTTATGCTTTAGACGTGTATGTTAAGTGGTATCTAGTTTGATTGTTTCATGTTGGATACTGTTTGCAACAATCTATAAAATGCACTTTAGACATTACTACCCATCGAATGACGACATGGAAGAATATGGTGAGAAAAGTAATCCGCTTTGTCACATTGAGCCTATGTTTGGTGTCTAGGAATGGATCTGATTAGATAACTCACAAGAGTATAGTTCCTTCAACTTGGACAAAGTTTCGAAGTCGACGTTCGTTTCGTATTAAAACATACCTCGGATCTTGTGAGTTATCTAATCGGCACCACCTTTAACCTGTCAACCCAAGTAGCTTCTTCTTGGTATGGGTCTTGTCGTGCTCGAACGCTGGAATGGCGTGAACTTTAAGTATAAAGGAACAGGTTCCTGGGCTGGCTACCAGCTGAAAGCTGTTGTTTGAAGTGGGATTGTAATTAAAGAACATATTCGTTCCAGCATGTTTGATAATGCCTCTGTAATCACTTTAACAATAATAATGCCGCTCCATGTTCGAATTCCCATTCCCCAATATAATTTACATATTTTTTGGTATAAAAAAAAGGGTATTGGTCTGCTAATCATAAACATGATTGCAAGACTCTCTTTTTTCAAAACAAGAAATACAAGATTGAATTAATGGCTCCAATTGCCATTACAATCAAAAGTTTATCATGCCAACGTGCACCTTCTCAACTCAATGGCTCCAATTGGCATGACAAGCCAGCCGGCTATATCCTTGTGTTGAATTTCATTATGAAGACTTTGAAAATTTACAAATTTTGCTATCAGCATAGATAGACTTTCATTATATTCTTCTAATTTTTTTTGTTAAAGACGAATATTAACGTTTACATTTTTTGCTAAAATATTAAAGAGCCATTTTCGGTGTCGAAACTGCAACGGTGTTAGTTTGGTCCAACAATAAAAATAAAAATAAGAACAAAAATGTTAGTCTGAGTTTTTTTTTTTTTTCATTTATTTATTTATCTTTAATTGGAGGTTGTTTGTAGTTTTATCCGTCGGCATAGTATCAAAACAAAGAGAAGGCATATCCGGATCCGCCATAGGAAATGCCAAGTCCGTAGAGAATTGGAACACTACGTAACGTTTTGCTTACCAAACATAAGAGAAAGACTCTGCCCAGCCCATTTTACCAAACAAAGAAAATAATAATAATTTGCATCGTTTTTTCACCAAAAGAAAAAATATATTTATATATAAATCGTGGCAATTGATCCAAAAAAATATCATGTGGAAGTACGTATTGTGAAGAATCATTCTGCTGAAAATAAAAGAAAGGAAAAACAGAGGAGAGTGAATTTGTCTTCCTTCAATTTGCAATATCTCATCTCGATCACAACTTGCATTCAATTTGCAGGCACCTTTAGAACAATGCCATTCGAATGCCCATTAAGCTAGCAAACCCATCTTCTTCCTCACAACACCCAAAAAAGATATTTTGGCTTAACCACTCACAACTTGCCCTGCCCATCAGATGGTTTATATAATGACATACACAAACAGAAGAAAACCAATTCCAATCAAATTCTTGGTTTACAGTTTTTCTCAATCTTTGGAAAACCTCTCTTGACAATTCCTCATTTGCACACACACAAAAAAGACTGACCCTTTTGGCCCAGCCATGAGCTGCTGTGACTGTGCCTCCAAACACTGCAATGCAGAGGCCCCAAAACCCAAGATCTTGGCTGTCATTTTTGATTTGGATGGGACCCTTATAGACACAGGTCTCAAATATCTTCTCCTAATTCAAAACCCCATTTGTTTTGGCTTGCTGGATTACTCTCTTTTTTGTTTAAGTATCAAACTCTTGTGTCTTTTGTTTGTGCCTGTGGTTCAGAGCGGGCTACAAGGGGGGTTTTCCAGGAATTCTTGGCCAGGTATGGGAAAGTTTTGGATAAGGAAAGGGAAGAGAAGAAGAGTTTGGGGATGACATTGAAAGACTCGGCAACTTCTGTTGTTAAGGGCTATGATCTCCCATTGACCCCTGATCAGTTTATCCAAGAAATCATCCCCATGTATCAAGAAAAGTAAGGCTTTTCTCTATGCCACAGATAACCATAATTATATATATAATCATACTTGTTTGAGCTGCTCCCAGTTTTCAAATTTATCTCATATCATTAGTGTACATGTGATGTGAGCATTCATTTAGATGTCTCAACACATTTGAAAGTTCTCTGGAAGCAAGCAAAGAGCTTTTGTGATATCAAGCCCCACGTTTTAAAATAGTAGCTATGTAGTACCGATTTCAGCGTGGTGATAATTGATAAGCATTATCATTTTATTATTTACTTGTATGTGCATGTGTTGTTGCTGGCCTTTGAATTGTCTCCTTATGTGCTAAGTTGTTGAGTGTGTACATTTAGGTGGTTGTACACGAAAGCTCTTCCTGGTGCTAATCGCCTTATCAAACATTTCCATGACCGTGGCGTGCCTATAGCGCTTGCTTCGAACTCCTTACGAGAATACATAGATGCAAAGATCTCTCACCATCGAGGTTTGTACAATTTCCTCTTTACCTCTCCAGGTTCCTAAATACTTAGCTTTTGATTGTTGTTGTTAATAACATATATAATATCACTTTGCTGAGCCAAAATTTAACAATGAAATGAAAAGTCATTGTGTTGCTGCCTCTTGCCCTACTATTGATTGTTACTTTTATTTTCTTAATTGTAGTCTTTAATAAAGGTAGCTGAGATTGAAGCTACTGCTGCTAAGTAATTTAAAAAATTTGATTATTTGGCAAATTGGCATGATTTTGTTGACTTATTTCATTCCTTGAGCCAATTTGATCTTTATAGTAATTATGGAGATTGCCTCTCTCTCTCTCTCTCTCTCTCTCTCTCTCTCTCTCTCTCTCTCTCTCTCTCTCTCTCTCTCTCTCTCTCTCTCTCTCTCTCTCTCTCTCTCTGCCTCATGTTAAATTGTTCTAAAATAACCTTCAAGTCTGTTATTCTCATTCAAATTTCTTTAACATAATGGATGGCCTGTGGTTTCTCTGATTTTCTCATGTCTTATTTATTTAAACATTGATATAGGTTGGAAAGAAAGGTTTTCGGTGATTCTTGGCAGTGACCAGGTTAAAGCGGGGAAGCCCTCTCCAGATTTGTAAGTAGTGAATTCACAGAAAACTTAATGCTTCCTTGAACATGTACAAATGGAACTTTGGAATTCTCCACCCCTTTCAACATGGAAGGCATCTAAAGGCCTGATCAGTCTCCATGAAAATAGAAAAGAAATCTGCTGAAATGATGTCAGCAAAAACTTGTGGCAGGAAAAAATTTCATTACTGTACTTCCGTTTTCTAGTGTTCACTAGTATCAGAACGATAACATTTCCACTAGTGTTCGCTTCAATTTTCTGTTAAGAAGAAAATATCGTCTCATATACATTTTATTTTACTATTAGCTGATATTAATGTACTTCCCAAACTTTTACAGATTTGAAGAGGCAGCAAAGCAAATGGGCGTGGATGCAGTTCACTGCCTTGTGATTGAAGACTCAGTGTAAGATTAGTCACAAACATATACATCTGATATGAAATTTGTTTCAGTCTTATCAATAGTCCATCAGATTCCACAGTATGCTAAGTAGAGTTGATATTTACAGATATACATTGCTGATTAATTTAAGCTGTCTTTTCGTTAAACGTTTCATTCAAGTGGTGGTTACTGATGCAGCATTTGCTGCCAGGTCATTGATGTTCCTTATGCAGCCAAAAGAGAGAGAGAGAGAGAGAGCTTTGCTGACTGTAGTCTATATTAGTCACATACATTTGTAATTAATCAAATATATTTCAACAGGGTTGGTGTTAAAGCTGCCAATGCTGCCCGAATGGAGGTAGTGGCTGTTCCACCTCGTGGTGAAGCTACTTGTTCTTCCCTTGCAAATACTGTTCTTCACTCGCTTTTGGAGTTTCAGCCTGAGCATTGGGGTCTTCCTCCATTTGAAGACTGTATATCTCTCTTCTATTGGTAATGGGGCTTTCCTTACCTGTTCAATAATTGGTCGGTTAATGGTTGCAGGGGTAGATAATGCACTGCCGATTGAACCAATTTATTTCAGTGGTCTCAATGTCAATGGGTTTGTCAGTGAAGTCACAGGTTGGTGAATCATTTTATTACATAACTTAGCATGATGTAATATATCTGTTCATGAATTTGTTTGACCGAGCAGGAGTTTAATACATTCTAAGTTTATGGTTAAGATTTGTGGAAATTTGTATTCAACTTAACCAAAACTCTAAAAATAACCAGAGGATGGAAGATCAACTCTCCCTGACCAAGTTTGGGGAGTTTTCTTTGGTTGGGCTGTAGCTGATATGGAGAAGACCTACAGAGTAGTGGTTGGAATTGGATTAGATTACAGTTCCTGTTCTCCTAATAAAAACATTGTGAGTATTCTACCCTAACTAGTTAATTTCATTCAATCTGTTTATTAAGTCTGTAATTGGAATCTGTTGAAAAGAATTAGCTTACCAACTGGCCATTTTATAAAGTGATTCTGTTTTGCTTTCTTCCAACTTTATCTAAAACAAGTTATTTCTATGTTGATTCCTAAGTTTGCATGGATGCGGTTAGTTCCATTTTGATATGCACTATGTTTTTATCAATTCAAAAAGTTATATTGAAGAAGATGTTTTTGCCCTTTGATGTAGCAAATATACACAGTTGATGGAAACAATTGCTGTATATCTAATCAGCAAATGAAACTGCTGCTTGTCGGCTACATCCGGGGATCGAATAAGGTAACAGCATGTTTGTAAACTGATACAGTTTAAAGATATGGGGGACATCATATAGTTTATATCCTGCCCTGTTCTTTTTGTTGAGTAGTGCCTCTAATTTGAATCGATGAAACCATTTTCCCGATGTTCAAGTCCAAACTCTGTGACTGTGAACTGGCCTGGGGTTTCAGCTCATGAAGTATAACAAACATTAAATTCTTATTGATATTTTGTTATTTTAATGCAATGAATGTATCATTAGTCAAATTAGTATATGTTCTAAAGCAAAACTATGCATGTACTGCAGGAAATTACATCCTTGGATGCAGAAACACTCAAGGAATGTAAGTCTATTGCGAGTGCTTCATTGGATCTGCCAATATTTAGTCACCATGGTTGCGTGCCTTTGTATCCAGAACCTTTTTCTGTGGAAGACATGATTGGCTGTGATGAGATACAACAATACTGATTTGTTCAAGCTTTTCTTATTACTCAGATGAGAGGGAAGAAAGAAAAGTGATTATGTACCCTATTAGAACTTTGATGATAAATTTACACTGATTTAATGGTGGAAGTAAAGTGTTCTTCGCTTCATTTTGTTTCCATGATTGTTATTGCCCACTTCTATCACCATGTGATCTTGTGCACAAAATGGCCACATTTGTTGGTGGTGCTCAAAATGCTATAGATTCCAAGATAAAGCTGTCTGGAAATATTTTAGTCGAAGAATAGTTTATAAAATTCAGTAATGATAATCTGGACAGAAAATTCAACATTATTTACTAAGTTAAAAGGCAGTTTTATCTAGTATAGTGGAATTTCTTCACTAAATTGGAGGAGATCTCAAGTTTGACTCACATGAATGACTGTGACGATGATGATATGTATTTGTAATGAGGTTGATGCCTAATTGTGACTAGGCTCCATCATCGTGATGCAGCCTTGAAAATTACAGTAAGTGGATGTGGTTAGTTCCATATTGATATGCACTATGTTTTTATCAATTCAAAAAGTTATATTGATGAAGATGTTTTTGCCCTTTGATGTAGCAAATATATACAGTTGATGGAAACAATTGCTGTATATCCAATCAGCAAATGAAACTGCTGCTTGTTGGCTACATCCGGGGATCGAATACCAAGGTAACAGCATGTTTGTAAACTGATACAGTTTAAAGATATGGAGGACATCATATAGTTTATATCCTGCTCTGTTCTTTTTGTTGAGTAGTGCCTCTAATTTGAATCGATGAAACCACTTTCACAATGTTCAAGTCCAAACTCTGTGACTGTGAACTGGCCTGGGGTTTCAGCTCATGAAGTATAACAAACATTAAATTCTTGTTGATATTTTGTTATTTTAATGCAATGAATGTATCATTAGTCAAATTAGTATATGTTCTAAAGCAAAACTATGCATGTATTGCAGGAAATTACATCCATGGATGCAGAAACACTCAAGGAATGTAAGTCTATTGCGAGTGCTTCATTGGATCTGCCAATATTTAGTCACCATGGTTGCGTGCCTTTGTATCCAGAACCTTTTTCTGTGGAAGACATGATTGGCTGTGATGAGATACAACAATACTGATTTGTTCAAGCTTTTCTTATTACTCAGATGAGAGGGAAGAAAGAAAAGTGATTATGTAACCTATTAGAACTTTGATGATAAATTTACATTGATTTAATGGTGGAAGTAAAGTGTTCTTCGCTTCATTTTGTTTCCATGATTGTTATTGCCCACTTCTATCACCATGTGATCTTGTGCACAAAATGGCCACATTTGTTGGTGGTGCTCAAAATGCTATAGATTCCAAGATAAAGCTGTCTGGAAATATTTTAGTCGAAGAATAGTTTATAAAATTCAGTAATGATAATCTGGACAGAAAATTCAACATTATTTACTAAGTTAAAAGGCAGTTTTATCTAGTATAGTGGAATTTCTTCACTAAATTGGAGGAGATCTCAAGTTTGACTCACATGAATGACTGTGACGATGATGATATGTATTTGTAATGAGGTTGATGCCTAATTGTGACTAGGCTCCATCATCATGATGCAGCTTTGAAAATTACCGTTACGTAGTTTTTTTATATCCATTTCTTTTTTTATTTTTAGTTTTCATTTTTATTTTTTTTAAACAGAAAAATGAAAACATGTGTTTTTTGTTTTTTGTTTTTTTGCCAGAATTAACAAGTGGAAGGGGGAAACTCGCAGGTCTTTGGCACATATCCAGAAGCTAGAAGAAGCAAAAAAATATGATCATAGAGTGTTGGGTAAATATCAAGAGCTTTTCTTTTTTGACCCAGTTAGGTATGCATTGAGTTCATATTTCTTAAAAGTAATCTAACCGTGAGTGATTAAGTACTGGGAAGACAGATTGCTGGATAAACATGAAATTAAGGTCAATACTCAGATTTGAAAATGTATGTTTATTTATTATTAGTTCTGTGTATATGAATGATACCAAATATTGGATAATGTCATGAAGAAGAAGGCTATGTTGCTCTATGAAGTACGGGTGTTCATTGTATACTAGCTTAGTTGCTTGCTCTCTCACTCTCTCTCTTTCCTTTGGTTACCTTGGAAACCTATGACATCCTAACTGATTCCCCCACCCACCCTTACCACTTGGGCTAACCCCAATGGCTTCTAGCTTATTTATTTATAAGCTCAGTGGGTTAAAAACTTGACGAAGCTCGGTCAGTACAGTTTTCATAATTGGCTTAGCTGGAACTGAGCCAGATGGATTGGTTTGGATTGGAGAAGCTAACCCAGTTTCTTCTCTACTCATTCACTTGGTGAGGATAGAATGGTCAAATTCTGTGACTGATGTTGCTGTTTTGGTCCATTATCTGTACTTTTTTAAAGCACTACAGTTGGGCCCCCAGAATTTCTTGTTTGTGTCTGGACGTGCTTACATCGTTAGTCATGTTGCAAGCGCAGGTGAATGAAGGGGATGGTGCTAGCCCTGACCCCGAATTTGTTGACACTCGGCACACACTGAGCCTGATTGCTGATTGCCCAATAAAAGCATAACATGTGGACCTTGTGCACTACGTCGGAAAACGACCAAACTGCCCTCTGCCTCGGCCTTGGAGTCACCTTGGGGAAACTCGAAAGGATACCAATTAGCACGTCGATGACAAGACCTCCTCTCCGTCGTGCCTCATAAAGTGTGCCCATGTCCTCTCAAAAGCCACGTCTAAACTGCCTAAATCACCACCTAACCAGATGGGATTATCGCTGCGCGTGACAGGCTACTCTGCCCACACCCGCACCCTATTAAAAACGTAAAGTCATCATGAGAAGAGGATGTGGGTGAACCCCGACCGCCCATCACCTGACAAATTTGATGTGACATGGACGGCTCGACTTCGAGCCGAGGTGACCGGCTTGTAAATTATCTTGTTTAAAATCTTTCTATAAATAGAACATGTGATTTTGTAAAAAGGGATCCATCTTTTTCTCTCTTTCAGGCCATCTCCAACCATGTTGGGGCTAAACTCAAATTTTCACCCTCCAAAATACAACTATTCATGTATTTTCAGGACTCAAAAAAAAATTTCATTCAACCTTGCAAACTCATAATTTGAGTCCGCAACTTTATTAAATTGTTTAAGAATGATTAACCTCTAAATTTTTTTTCTAGTTAATTTTTCTTGACATGATTTTTGTTTCAACATTCGTGATTTAATTTTCTAAACGTTTTAACCTAAAAAAATTAAAATTCCAAAACATAATAGAATTTCACTTTAAAATAAAAACAAGTACAACACCATGCGTATGCCGGGAATAATTCGAACCCTTCATAAAAAAAGATAAACGACAATCATAAAAAAAGATAAATGATAATTATAAATAAAGTTAAATAAAAATAAGCTGTTGAAATTTTTATTTTTTTTTTAAAAATAGCACAGCATATATTTGAAAATATGACCGTTGGTCAGTTCAAAATGCCACGTGGGCCAACTTGTTGCACAAGCTGCTAGCATACAGCAAAATGCACATGGGGCCTATCAATTTTTGGTGTTCACTTGGGCTTCCAGCCAGAAAAACAAAAAAGAAAAAACAGATTTCGGGCCCACAAAAATTATAAGTCCAGGCAATACTTAGGGTGGAATTCCACCCAAGATTTGAGATTTCTCAAATTTCCACCCCCCAAAATACATGGGTTGGAGAAGTTTTTAGGACTCAAAACCTATAATTTGGGTTTCCACCCATTGGGTTGGAGATGGCCTTAGGGAATCTTGAAAGGAGAACAATATACAAGGAATACACAGAGAGAACCTTGTCCCTTATCTTCATAAGAATTGCGTTAAATACTTATATTTTTATACGTTAGCCATGGGAATATCTATGGGTACAACATCTGGCGCCGTCTGTGGGAAACTACACTCAAAGGTTACGCGTTAGCTACTCCACTACCAACATGTTGGGTCGAAAGATGAAGGGGATCTCCACCCCCGGCACTCCCGATCAAAGAAACACGAAACGCCGGAAGGCAAAAAAACAAAGGATAAGTGCCCTCGAAGCCAAAGTTGAACTACTCCTTAACGAGGCCGACGCCATGCAAGATCTAAACAAAACTCTTCATAACCATAATGAGCGCTTGCAAGAGCAGCAGATTAGCCTCCAAGAGAACCTATGAAGAGCCCAGAGGAAAGTCATTAGGGATTCAAGCCGTACCAAGAGAGTGGAAAGATGCCTATTTAGCGAGGAGTCGACGTCTGCTTTGATGCCTCAACATGGTAACGTTGCCCCCAACCCTGACCCCGAGAGCACCAACTCTAAGGAAACCATCCCCGCCGATCGCAGCTCAAGCAAAAGAAAAGATCACATCGCCGAGATTGACAGCCAAACCCTGGACGAACCTATCGTTCTTTCCCATGAGCTCGACTTGAGAGCAGCAATGAAGGCCATGATCAAAGGAGAGATGGGGAGCGTATGGGATAGGCTCAGCAAGGTCAAAAGGACCCACAACCCGCTTGTCCCCTCATTTTTCGAAAGACAAAATCCCCATCCCCTATACCAAAGAACTTCTCGAAGCGACTGTCGTCGATGACACGAAGGCCCCGAAAATTACTCCCTACGAGGGACTCCCTGACCCGTATGACCACCTCGACAATTTCCACTATACCATGGAGGGCTGGGGGGCGAATGAGGCAACCAAATGCAAACTCTTCCCAACCACCTTGAAAAGAGCAGCCCTGAATTGGTTCAAAAGGCTGAATCTCGAATCCATCGACTTGTTTGCTGAGCTGCGCCGGGCGTTTCTGGACAGGTACATGATCATATCAAGTCGATTACATACCGCCAACGACCTCTCGGCTATACGACAGAGACCGAACGAATCACTACGCGACTATGTCACCCGCTTTAACAACGAATATGCTCAATGTGAGGGCTGCGATGAGGCAACGACTCATAACGCCCTCATAAGAGGCTTCCAGGGTGGGGACTTTTTCTTCCACCTCACCAAAAATCCCCCTAAGACATATAAAGACCTCCTCCTGTTAGAAATGTGCCCTAAGAGCCAATACATTTGATGTAATCTCCTTAGAATACATTTCGTATATGATAAATAAAGGG